GAAGGGAGGTTCCAAAGAGGATGGACAGAGGCTGTTCTCTGTAGTGACGGATGGCAGAACAAGGAGCAATGGTCTCAAGTTACAGTGGGGGTGGTCTAGGTTGGATATTAGGAAAAACTATTTCCCTAGGAGGATGGTGAAGCAGTGAAATGGGTTACCTAGCAAGGTGGTGGAATCTCCATCCCTAGAGGTTTTTAAGTCTCGGCTTGACAAAGCCCTGGCTGGGTTGATTTAGTTGGGATTGGTCCTTCCTTGGGCAGGGGGCTGGACTTGATGACCTTCTGAGGTCACTTCCAGCTCTATGACTCTGAGTTCATCTGAGCTCCCATGCCACCCAGCCACAGGACACTGTGTGAGGGGCCAGGTCCCATCCCTGCCTCACCTGGAGCAAAGAATTCTGGCCTGGGATCCTGGGTAGCAGCAGCCTGAGGAGGTGGGGAGGGAACACAAGTCTCCCCCAGCCAGCTGTGCAGGGATCCTGATGGGGGTTTCACACCCTCTACAGGAGCCTGAGGGCAGAAGCCACCTCTGCTACCCCCTGCTCTCTGGGGGAGGAGTTATCCAGCGGCTTCCCTGCTCTTCTCCCCACTCCACCCTATCCAGGGGATGTAACCGGCCTGCCACAGGCCTGCCTGGTAGAGCCATGCCCACGTGGCTCCCTGACGGGTCCACTGCACCTATACGGACAGCATCAGAATCTGCTGGGATCTCCTGGAGGAGCCACTCAGTCTGAGTGCGAGCAGAGCCATGGTGCGCTCTGCCCCAGCGCTCCCTTCCTCCCCCGCACACTTACCACCATCTGATAAATAGCATCTACGATGTCCAGCATCTCGTTCCTCGTGATGTACCCGTCGTTGTCCAAGTCGTACAGTTTAAACGCCCCTGAAACCAAGAGCGACACTGAAGCCGGAGGAAGCTCTGGGCACCCGCAAGCAGGGAGCACCCAGTGTGAGTCCGACAGCCCTGCCGTGCCTGTCTGGGCCAGGAACAAGCCATCTCCTGGGGGGCACTTCCCAGGGCACAGACGTCACTGGCTCTCCCCGTCACCAGTCTCAGTCTGAGAGGCCCAGAACTGAACAGCTCCTGGAGACTGACTCAGTAAGTTAATGCACAGCTCTCTGCTCTGGGAGCCTCCCTTCCTGCAGCCCAGTGGGCATTTCCCCGTTTTAATTAGGGCTGTACGATGTGAACGCCCACACCGAGATCTCTAGGCACAGCCCGAGTGCAACAAACCTGAACGGATCTGTCTGCACTGTAGCTGGGTGCAACTTCCCAGCCGGGGCACACAGAGCTGTGTTAGCTAAGATCAACCTGGTATCCTGGTGCGAGCTCCCCAGCCGGGGCACACAGAGCTGTGTTAGCCAAGCTCGCACTGGTATCCAGGGGTAAGCTCCCCAGCCAGGGCACACAGAGCCGTGTTAGCCAAGCACGTGCTGGTATCCAGGGGTGAGCTCCCCAGCCAGGGCACACAGAGCTGTGTTAGCCAAGCTCGCACTGGTATCCAGGGGTAAGCTCCCCAGCTGGGGCACCCAGAGCTGTGTTAGCCAAGCACGTGCTGGTACCCTGTCAAGAGCTGCATGTGCATGCTGAGATGTTCCGGCTCACAGGCCACAGCATGGTGCGGAGCTTGAAAACCCAACCTACAGCCCCAGCCCCAACGTTCAATGTCAACGCAGCTACTTCTAACACACAAACCCAGGTCTGTGGGTCCCGGCTGGGCGCCCTGCTCCCAGATGCAGATTAGACCTACTCAATGAGAATCCTCTATAGTGCTCTTCCCTGCTTGGGCAGTTGCTCATTGTATGGCTGCTTCTTGCTAGTCTAGACCCATTCTGGGCTCCAGGACTGAAGTGGGGAAGACGCGGTTCATGGTTTCAGACTAAGCCGAGTACTTACACCGCAGTTTCTCATCCAGGGTCCCTCGGGAAGTGACCGAAAGCGCCTGGATGAACTCCGAAAACTCGATCCTCCCATCCTGCAAAAGGAAAGGGCCCTGTGAGATCTGAGACACACATCAAAAGCACATGGGCAGAGGTTTGTATGGCTACATGTGTGCACCTGTGCCTAGGAATCATCAGACTAAGCCGAGTACTTACACCGCAGTTTCTCATCCAGGGTCCCTCGGGAAGTGACCGAAAGCGCCTGGATGAACTCCGAAAACTCGATCCTCCCATCCTGCAAAAGGAAAGGGCCCTGTGAGATCTGAGACACACATCAAAAGCACATGGGCAGAGGTTTGTATGGCTACATGTGTGCACCTGTGCCTAGGAATCATGAATGTGGAGTCC